CTTGGCTGGCCTCCCCTGATCCACAGTAAATTTCCAAATGTAATCATTTTTGTTTTAAGATGAAGATAAATTTTAAAGTGCCTAATATATATTGATAATACATGTATGCATGCGTGACAGACTGACAACTCAAACTAATCACGTGAGATTTTTTTAAGTAAGACGGAAACAATCTGATTTAAAAACATCAAGTTACTGGCTGCTATACAATATATAACTTTAACCAGATTACTAATGCTAATAAAAATACAATAAAATGTTCCTTTTTTCAAGTCTTGTGACATTATTTTAATCTTGTTCTATCAGGAAGAAATAGAGGCTGTTATCTTTGCTGCAGAAAGTACAGATAGGAATCATGGTTATAAAAAACAATATGTTGCACAACTGCCATGGAGAAAAAAATTAACGTGTAAACAAACGTGAAATGTGATTTAAAATATAAAGTTGAGGTAATTTACTTACTAAAAACTTCAACACTCATTTTAGGGAAAAAAAAAAACACTTTTTCTTCTCTGTATACCAGTAACTTCAGTGCAGCTGAATCAGTTAGAATTTGTGGCATTTATTTGCAATAAACTCAATCAAAATTTTTAGATGACACAGTAAAATTGAAAATGGAAAAGAACATTTCATTTTGAGCCAACCCATCAGTTCTGSTTTTGTTTTAGTTTTGAACACATTTTGAAAAAGGTGCTTGATACATATTTTGAGAGTTACAAGTGGATGTACCGACATTCTGGTTATTATTGCACAGTTTAATTTTTGTGGAAGTAAGAGTGAACATTTTGTATTGGAATAACTAGCTCTGGAAATGGCGTCTCATAAAGTGAACTCTGAAAATAGCAGTTTGAGTACTCAGGCTGTTTTTTATTTGTGCCGTTTCCCTTTTGCCTCTTGTCTTTTTACTCTTTTTTCCACAATAGTGCATTCATTCAACAAAAACCTTTCCTTCGGCATTCTTCGGCTCTGACAATGCCTCTTTCACAATGTTTACACGACCGCGTCTTCAGCACTGACTAGATTAACACTCGWCAACCAAATAAACAAGGATGAATTGTGTGGAAAGAAAATCTGATAAAGCTAAGAAAACCTCCGGTTTGTGGGTTGATTTTCTGTTTTTGACTGCCGGAAACAGGTTTGCGAACGACAAGACTGATTTTCATTTCTAATATTTGACCAGCATTTCAAATGACGCAAAAACGACCAGTTTCAGTGTATGCTTTAAACTCATCTTTGAATTTTCTTTACCTAAAAGACATTTTTGCAGATAGTTCCTTTCTTTCTTTTTCCAGACATGCCATAAATAAATGACTCAGCTACTTACCACACCAACGTTTTGCTAAACAGCAGTGAAACAGAGTTCTAACCCTTTTGTGTTAGCTAAGACTGAACAGCTACAGTAGCCATCTTGAATCAGGTTCAAGATCAAACACATGCATCTTCACATACAGGCAATTGCATAATCACCCACCTTCCATGGCAGCCGGCCAGAAATAAAGAAATAAACATGTGTCACAGTTGGTTGGAACCTGTAGAGAAAATACAAAGAGAAAACGTAATGAARTGAAAGGAAGAGCAAACCTTGAGTTCTCTAACATGTTTGGAATAAACAGTTCTATTGGATTTCATGTGCTTTCAAATGATCTCAGTGACTCATACAAAAAGACTTTTAGCCCAGAACACTGCTTGCATTGTCTGGAAATAATTTTACATGAAAAGCATGGCATTTTATAACTAGCCCACTATGCACCACTATAAAACATTTTTTTTTTTGTTTTGGCAAGTTCTTAAACTCTGTCTTTAAAGCAGTTAAGAACTTCTGGTGAAAAAGAGGAATGTGGTTTAAAGACAACAATCCAATCTGTTCTTTGTGTCTGATTAAACCTGTATTACACAACCCTGTGCGCACACCCATTTGGGTGTTGTGCCAAACAGTTGCTTCAGGAGATCTAATTAAATCCGTTGTCATCACTTCCAGGTGTTGTTTGATCGTGTTACAAAATAACTTTTTTTTAATATGTCCAGTGCTACTTCCCTTATCCTCTGGGACACATCAATAACACAGTCGTGCACATGCACCCGTGCAAACGTACATCCAACGATCCTTGGCCATTTAATCCTCTGATTCTAGTCTCCTCTGCAGTCTGRGCTGCCCTGTTTTCATTGTAGTCCTGGGCAGTGACTCATCCTGCGTCTGAGCCAAGCTGTTTGTGCTGGTTCACACCAACTGACACACCTATGACCAGGAAACACACCCATTGCCACATATCCTTGTATTCAACCGGAGTAGCTACAAAACAGGGACGGAGTGAGGGGGGGGGGTGGTGGGGGGATCAGTTTGTGAAAAAAAAGGCAAAACATGCGGCGTGCTTCCTTCACGTTTCAGTTTATCTGCGACAAATGAAGTAAAACGTTGTCGTAAACCTGCTTTTGATTCTCAGATTGTAATGGAGCTACAACCTTTCAACGCCTGCTGGAAAGTTGTTAAATGGCAAACAGTTTGGACAGGAATCCTGCTGTTTACATGTGGACACATCACACAAGTTGTCCCACAGAAAGCAGTGTTTGCTGTAAGCCGAAACTCTTCAAAAGCAACAGGAGCCTCACCTCAGTGGCAAAAAAAAAAAAAAAAAAGAGCGCAGCAAACCTGCACGGTGCTGGGTGCACATGTGCAGTAACAGGACATTCCAGAAGACATTCCCTGGTTAAAAAAATGAATTATTGTCAATAAAAATTTAATTATTGTCAAAAAGTTGTTTATTCCTGATCATGTCACCCAAAGGTGAGAGCAATATTAGTTTTGCTTGTGCCTCTGACTGCATGTTTGTCTGCACTGTTAGCAAAATGTCATGATAACTGGATGGATTTTAATAAAACTTTCAGAAAATAATCATTTCAAGTACAACAATAGCTAATCATTCTTAGAATACATAAAAAAATATTTGGAAAAATTTGGTGTGGTAGTAGCTGCCAGTCATTCACAACACATACTCCAAAYGCTAACAMGTTATTTTTATTTTTTTTACTCAACCACTGTTTATTTGAAACACAGCTACAGTCCAAACACCGTGGAAACATCCAGAAACCACTGGAGTTCCTCATGATCTTTGCTCATATGCCACATGGCTGGAACTTTTCCACTTTTATCTCAGAGTGCGTGCAGGTGTGTGGTTCTGTTCCTGCACGCACAAACAATGGCTTTTCTTTTCGCGGCAGAGCTGCAGCCTGTACTTTTCGGGGACAAACTGAAGCCTAAGTTGTCTCCTTCCAGGGCGGCGAAAAAGCGGCAGCATTAAGAATATACGCACGCACACACACACACACACACACACACACACACACACACACACACACACACACACACACACACACACGTACGAGTGTGCACGCCACACCCTGTTCATTCCCCACAAAGCGGCACGGCTACTTCCTCGACTCCTGTTCCTCGCCGTGTCGCTTTGCTGTTTCACCTCAGCGAACACGGGTGTGACACGGAAAAAGACAAACAAGTTGTTTTAAAGATGTCCAAAAMCAATGCGAAAAGTGAGAGATATACGACACACGATCACACAAACATCGCAAAACCAAAAACGGCATTTGCTTTTTATTAACACTGCATCAGTCCAAATAGTCACTATACTAGCAAATAAATTTCAGTTCGCAGTAAATTAAAACAAATCCAACAGCTCTGCTACAAATAAATTATGTAAACTATAAAAATATCTTCTTGAATTAACAGTGTTAAAATATTAACATGTTTTCAAATGAATACAAAATGTTGTTTGGTGTTGGAGGAAAAAAAGAGCACTTCAGGTCATCTGACATGGCTGCAGGTCACAACAACAACAAATGAAGTTTAGACGCGCCATCTTGTTACTGTGTTTTAATCACTGAACTCTTTATGATACATTTTCTTTAATAAACAAGTTGTTGGTCGAACTAATGCYTGTAACTCCACCATCCAGCTTGATTCGTAAGAATTTACTTGTGTCGTACAGTAGCTTCTTTTGCTTTTCTACCTTGCAAATTATTAGTAGTAATTGTTTGGTAATTAGTAGTTTGGAGGAATATATCCTATATTAGAGCTTATTGTAAAAGAAAACTGAAAGTATTTTTTAAATGCTTGAAATACCTGTAGGCTGGTGAAGGAGGAGCGCTGATAAAAACGACACAATAAACTAAACTTTGCACTGATTGTTTCAAAACAAAAGCCTTGAGAATTAGTGYATGGTTCTCTTATAAACCAGGACATAGATGACTATTAAAACTTATACACAGTGTATAGTAAAACCAGCCCTGTTCATATTTTATAATATAAATAAATTTGGATTTAGTTAACATGTCAAATATTTAAAACTGGGTAGTTCACGGTGACATCGTTACCTCCTGTAAGGCTTCTCTTATAAACAGACGCTTTGTTTTAGTTTGTGAGAAAAGAACTGCTTTATGAGTCATTTAGTTAATGACAACCTTGTATCACTTTGTGTGCAGTAATTTAAATGCCTTAATAACATGTTTATACCGTTGGTTGTCACACAATGCTCACTTTGTGGTGTGTTGTGCGCTTCAGAGTCATTCTGACATGTGAACTGAAAACTAAACTGATTAAAATCCTATTTATACACTTTTAGGGTTGAATAAGGACTTCGCTTTGTGCACGATCCGTGGACAAATACCTTTTTAAATCACACATTACAGTTAAATTGTTAATTACAAACGCAGTTACTAAGCTGTAAACATTTTCTCCTAAGAGTTGAGCTTACTTTTTCTGGTGGCATGCCTTCGCAGACCTCTATGTGGAACGGTGGGTGGTCCCAGTGCTGAGGACCACTCCCTCACACAGGTCCCCTCCCTTGTATTCCCCTCCCTCTGAGAACCAGGAGCCCTACCCAGCTCCCTTTCCAATCACTCTGCTTAGCCCAGAAGACAAGTCACACAGTGGGGAAAAAAACAAAAAAAAAGAGGCTTAAATCAACTCGGAGCAGAAAAAGAGGGAGGGCAAAAAGGAGGAGGTGGGGGGGAGAAAACGCCCTGGAACTCTGGTTGACAGAGAACTGGGAAAAACAGCAACAGACTCCTGACAGACTGCAAACTTGTGACAGAGTGAACGTGCTCTTCTTGGGCAGGGGAGAAGGGGAGAAGACGCGTTTTCGAGGATGCTCAAGTCAGTGTGAGGCTTCTTGGGCGCAAAAGTTGCGCACAGGTAAAGGTTGCACTTTTTTCTGYTTTATCCAATCAACTGAAAGTGGGTTTATTTTTGACTGCTGAACTTTRCCAACTTGTATTTTGCTGTGTCTGTGCTGCAAATGAACCAGTCCTACAAAACAACTAAGGTTTTATCAACTACTCTGCAGAACTTAAATGCTCCTTTATAATGTCAGGAAGCATTTCTGAATGTGTTGTAAGATTACACTGATGCTGTCCTACTTTGGTGCACATGCTTATCTGCTGTGAAGTCCTGTGSTTCTTCCAAAGGGAAGCTGAGCTTCCGTTGTTTTTGTCCCTATGTTTCTGTTGTTTAAGTTGCCGTTAAGTTYGTGTGTAACTCAATACACACTTTAAAACTGAGAGCAAGGCAGGAGAAGTGGGTGTGTACTTTGCAGCCAAATGAACGCTCAGGGTTTTACTGGAGTTGCGCACTTCACTTTTATCTTTATCAGTGGCTTTTAACACGGACGTAAGTGTGAAATCAGCTCTTTTTCCCCCTAAATGGATTCCAGATATGAGTTCAGAAACTATAGAAAAGACTACACTGTAAAAATGAAATGTTGGATTTACTTAACCATGTTATAAGACCTGGTTCCACTTAACTGAGTTGAGTAAATTCAGAGCAATATACCAGTTTTTTAGCCGAAGAACATGAGTATGTTGCTTTGAATTTACTCAACTCAGTTAAGTGGAACCAGGTCACATAACATGGTTAAGTAAATCCAACATTTCATTTTTAGAGTGTATGTATGTACACATAAGCAGTTTTCTGTGGGTTTTTGACTTGTGTAAATTAGATGTCTTCTGCATACTTATTAAGAGACAGTCCTTTAGAAAAAAAACTTTTATCCATAGAGAGAGAGAGAGAGAGAGAGAGAGAGAGAGAGAGAGAGAGAGAGAGAGAGAGATGTGGTTGGAAGTCAGAAAGTGCCAGCAAGGAAAAATAAAAAAAAAGGGAGACAGATTGTGTTTATGTTATGGTTGATGTATTTTCCTTATCAGTTTATCACCTTTATTAAAGCTTGGAAGTAGAAAAAGTGAAGGTACTTCCCGGTGCGAGACTGCAGCAACAAGTTTGGGTGTGGATCCCTCTCCTGCACCTCCCTTCTTCTCCTTCTTCTTTTCTTCCTTCCCTCCTTTCTTGCTTTGCTGTCTCCTCGGACGGGCACACCCTCGACAGCCTGGAAAAAAAAAAAAGGGCAGAAGAAAATACTACGGACCGCAGACAGTCATTACAGTGGGCCCCTTAGTACTTGAAAACGTATTGACCTGTTATGCAACGTAAACAARTCGTATTTATGGTCATTTTAAATGCAAAAACAATTGTGAGAAACGYGAAAGATGTTCCTAAGACTGTCTCACTCTGCGTTGTTTTTCATTGACCAACAGCGCGTTTCGTTTTTCTTCATAAAAACTTTAAAAGTCACACGGCTGTTTGACTCTGGTGCRTGGAAATACTTTATGATTCATGGTTTTTAAAAAGTTTTAAGCAGGGGATGAGTTCGCTTTAACCTTGAGTTTCTTAACCTGGGCGTCATGCCAGGGAGTGTAGGGGGGCAAGGATGGGAGGAAGACAGGGAAAGAGAGTGTTAGGGAGGGAGGGGGATGGGCGGGACTGGGGTGAGGAGGGGAGTTATGGAATGTAGTGGTTTGGAAAGACAAGCTAATTGAAACCAGGTTTGGGGCTGGAGAGGGGAGCTAAGACTTAGCACTTTTTGGGAAACACAAGTAGCGCACTTCAGAAAATGGACAAGTTAAATAGGTTTTTGAACTAAGCTGTGTTTAAAATACATCTGTTTGATGTACGAATACACATAGCTTTGTCTGTCTTTAATTTATAAAGCACATGTTCGAGTTGTGGAAAATAAAGAATCAAAGAAACAGACGTAATCCTCTAAASCTAAGCCGAAAGTTGTTTCACCCTTTGCAGTTGCTTGGCTTTCACAGCTCCCCCTCTGCCACACCCTGAAGTCYGTGTTACTTTCTGCGTAGTTCTGTACAGTGCTCTCTATACTGCGTGCACTTAACCAACGATAAGTACCCTGCAGCTGTGAATGTGCGGCATGTCTCAAATTGCTCTTGTCAAGGTGATGAATGGCGACAAAGATTGCTTAAAGGGCCAAATTGTCACAGAACTAAAAGATGTTTCGAGAAGTTGGCTTGAGTTATAGTGTATTTTATTAAAAAATTTAGCAGTTTTTAAAGACCTTGAAGGTGTGGGCTTACAAAACACCCAATAATAAACAAGCTAACTCAAAATTTTAAGCCGTGAAGCCGTTTGTTCTCGATTGTCAAAAGCTGAAATACTCGTCAGTTAACAGGGCCTCAGTTTGGCCTAGGGCAGAAACTGTTTTTTCTAAATACGCGCACTGTCTATTCGTGCAGCAGCACAGAGCCTACATTATGTTGTTAGCTTACTAATGTAATTCATTCGAAATTCAGAAAAATGCACAGCGAATCTGCCAAGAATCTTTTTAATAATTCTATTTAGCTCAGCCGATATGGTGAAAATGGCAACGTTTGATTTGATTGCTCTCGCCACCCACATGACAAACAGCATCTTAAGAGGGCTGACGAGAAGGCCATGCCTTATATGACTGTTTGGGGTCTTAAGATGGCTTAAGATTTAGATCCACATGCTAAACCATACCAAGCTGCGTCAACTGCATTGAGACGCAGCTGACTGACAGCAGGAACAAGAACAGCGGTGCTGCTCATACGTACCAGAGCGAAACTTACGGAAGCGGGTCTCGAGCCCACATCCTTTGCCATTTCCTCCTAGGTTTGTTTGGTGGGTGGTTAGAAATAAGGGACAGAGTGGGTTGACAACAAGAGGGCAGTGTATGTGTTGAAAAAGATGAAAAGAAAGAGTGAGAGTAAACTGAAGTCACRCCATGGTTTATTTGTTGCGCAACTAGCAGTCGTTAAAAAAATGATTTGTGCTGTTGGGTGTTCTGGCAGTCCAGCAGACTCACAGTTTCACCTAATTGACTGGATAAACTGTAGTTCCCCTTCTGTCGCAAATAAACATTTCATCGTGGTGTTCAATTTTAGATTTAGTTCTTCGAGGCAATCCAAAAGCAGCCACTCCCTTTCCACACATCCAGTGCAGAGTTGGAATGTTTCATTATGTGCTCTGTGGATCCCCTTATCATTACTGTTGCTTTGCCATGATGATGAAAAATAGCTTTTTGAGAGTTACGATGAGACAGCCAACATGGGTTATACAGAACACCAAACCCAGTCACACCCATGCACGTGCTTCATATTCAGACTGGGTTATTGTAGCGTTGTGTTTGGCTGGGCTTTAGCGAGTGCAGATTTCAACATGGGTGTGAATCACTTTTTCCTCCCCCTGATAAGCCAATAACTTACACCTCTGCTCTTCCAAACATCTGCACTACAGAACCACCCAGAAACAATAAATCTCATAGCACTTTTGCCGTACTGCAGCAAAATCTACCTGGCTTTCACTCTCTGACCTGTCATGTTGCCCCAACTGAGGAATGACACGCAACATCTGTTTCCAAAACCTTTTGGAATGAGGACCAAAATATCAGGCAACAAGATCTGGAATGCAAATTTGGAAGAGCATTCAGCTGTGTTTAGGTTTTCTTTATCTGGCACAAGATACTCAAGGTTGGCACACACACCACCAAACGTTTCCTTGCTTTAAACAAATTCTGGTGGGCTTTAAATCTAAATACCCACTGGACTGCTGAAGCAATATCTTTCTGCAGCTAAGGAAGTTTTATATCTGTTTACATTTATTGTGCTTCTGTCCTGACCAAATCATTTTTACCTTTTCCAAAAATGGACTTACGACTGTTCGACCTCAAACAGCCCATGCAGCAAACAAACTGCACAAATAAACTAAGTTGTTTCTGAGCAATAAGTAATGACAATAATGTAAACTAATATATCAATTCAAAATTTGCATCTTTCTTCTCGAAGACATCAAAGAAACAAGTCTGATTTTTACAGTATTTATGACTCTGTTCATTGCTCAATGTTTTTGGCTCTGAAATGATCTGCTGGCTTGAGCCAAGGATCACTTCTCATTTCAGAATAAAAGAGCAAAAGAGGGATTTTTTCCCCTCAAAATGTTACTATTTTATTCTGTGCCAACAGCAGCTTGTTTTGCATTTCGTAAGAAAAGAAGAACCCCTTCGAAATCTATGCACGTGATGTGGAAGAACCTTTACTAAATGAGCTCCTCCACTTTTAGAAGTCAAAGGCTGGGACAGAAAACAACTGGTAATGAAAGCTGTGTACTATCCTGTACTTTTTCATGTAATATAGAACTCTTCAGTTATCATCTTCTGAAAAAAAAAAGCCAACGAGACTCAAACTCTGACTCTTGTCACACTGAAGGTTGAGCTGTAATGTGCTTTCAGTGCTAGTTGGGCTTGTTTGTGACCTTTTAAGAAACCAAGAGAAAAACTTTTCTTCATTTTTTTTCCATTTGCTGCCTAACGCCTGCCAAACTCACACTGGTTTAATCAGCAGTCGGCCAAGCTGGCGTCAGTGGGGCAAGCTTTGGTCTTATACAGGACTTGTGGTTTTGTTCAGGGTTATTCGAAACATTGAGAGCAGAAAAGAACAATTTGTTTTGATGCTCGTTCCTTTCATATGCGTCATACATTTATGGCCTATCTGCCTCTTTGCGGGAGGACTGAAGGCCGAGGCCTGGTGTGTCTCTTTTGCTGTTTGTTTTACTTGCCATGTCAAACGACAATGCATGTGAGAAGAACAGGGAGTCTATTCTGTTTTGACAACAAGACTGATTCTGCTCACTGCTCCTTGTTACTTCTGCGCCTCAGTGCACAGAGGCGTCCTTTATGTGGTCTTAATCAAATCTTAGCATTTGTCAGAAGCACTGTGTTTAATACACTTATGGGTGAAATATAATCTTTGTCACTCTGCTCTTTTTCTTCTTGCACACCGAATTGATTAGATTTGTCAATCAAGTTGGCAGACAAACTTCAACCTCGTCAATACATTTTCACTGTGCTGCGACCTACTAAGTAAAATTWATGACAGATAAACAGGTATGTGCCCCCAGGAGTTAGGCAGTTAAACTTAACGCAGTGAGGGCTACTTGTTGCACAGGTAAACATCCACAGKTAGAGCATGTGTATGCACTGTTACTTAAACATTGTGTTTCGTGGTGCGTGTACATGCACGAATCGGACTGATTGTGGCACTGTTGTGTATTTGTACAGAACCTGGGGGTGTGGTGGACTGACTGTCAGAGTGCAGACACTCAAGTAGGGTACATGGTGGGCGATTCAGAATGAAGCCAAAGTTACTGTGTGTGTGAGAGAGAGGGAGAGAGAGTGAGGACATTTCTTTGGAGTTAGTCACCGTTGGGAGAGGCTGGGCTCCTTTCCAGCTGGCCTGGCAGCTCTATCAAGGAATGTGTTTGACTGGAGGCCTGGGTGGGGTTGTGCAGTAAGCTGCTAACTCCACAAGCAAGTCACAGTGGCAAAGCTACATGAACTGTTTTGATGAACTTGGTGCAGTAATTTTAGGTGAAAAGCATGTGTTCTCTGCTGATGACCACCAGTGTGTGGTCATGTGACGTGTGTCACAAAGATGCAAAGAGTAGTAATATATAACCTAAGAGGACTACTGTCAGGAAATATTTTAAAACATTCTTACACATATAAAAATGTTATCATTTTAGAGATCACATATTGTTCAACTAGTTTCTCTTTATGAAACAATAAACCAGACATTTAAAAGATGTGAGTCAAATAAAACCTGATTGGTTCCTGGCCTAGCAGTCTGATTAATGCACCTCTGTAACAGGAGTATCATCTGGAAAGTGTACACAGCTGCTGTAGTATACTGTAGGTCTACCCACACACACATAATGACAACTAYGTCCTGGCTGGCTTTTATCTCAGCTCTCTCATTATGAAAATCATTTMAAAAAACAACAACAATGCATGCTTTAAAGAAAAAACACTTCAAGATATTTGCACCAATGTTGGTTTTAAGCAGCAGTTTTACTCATTTTCTCTTTAATTTACTATATAATGAGATAATAGTCTGTGCTGATTAGAACGATTTCCTGTCTCACTGACACTGTTATTTGGTTTACATTGTACCAAAGTAATGAACACCTCAGCTATTAAACATAGGTCATTGTGCAGGATGGGAGTTAATGATGGGGTTGGATAGAATTTTTCAGACAGACGTGTTCCCACTGGTAGGTGCCTTTCTACACACACATCAAGTCTGGTTCTGTTTTGTACTCTGGCTGACAAAAAAGAAAAACTTTGTTTCACAATACGCCACTAGGTTGACACAATAATCCTCATAAGACCTTTAAGAAGTTGGGCCAGTWACAGCAAGATTGACTTGGCATGCAGACTGACACTCAAAGTCCAAACGATGAACACAATTGCAACAACAAATTTTTATTGCTACATCGGGCTTTTGTGCGCTGGCTCTCGGTGGTTTTATACTTCACAAAGTTATAATTTGAACTACAAAAAAAAAAAAAAAAAAAAAAAATTCAAAAGCACATACAGCAGAACATTTCCTTTTTGAGTTCCTTTCGACTAGGTTTGAAACGATTCAGCTTCTGATTTCAAACTTTGATTCGGTGCAGCTCAACTAAGCAAGCCTATTTATGCACTTTGTTGATGAAATTAGGGCCTTACCTCACAGGCATTTAGATTTATTTACTTAAAGGGAGTTTTGCAAGAGGGCTTAGTAGAGTAAAGATTGCTACCAGTGGTTGGTTAACTATTACCACTCCTTTGAAAACTCTGATTGATGATGAAAGACCTGCTGTATGCAACACTAAAATCTCATGAGTAATTGCAAATGAATTTATGATTTTGTGTGTCATATGAAGACACACATGAATGCAAGCCTGACTTGTGAGGAACTGCTTTCATTACTTGTTGAGTATGTGACTGAAACATGGCAAGTTGTTATGTTGAACTCAGAACACAATTCCCACAACTAAACCCCGACCCGTTTTTATGTTTCTTCTAACAGAAGTCGAGAATCAAGAACACAAGTAGCAGACTGAAGCCCTTGGCTTTGCTTGAGCAATCCAAGGTAAGTGTCCTTAGACTATAAAATCACCACACTACATCTGGAACGGGTTAAACATATAGAAAATCTTAACCCACTTTATGCATCACCCGACTGCAATACTCTAGAGTCATTGTTCAGCTCTGTATTGTGTAAGCAGACACAAAACTACTGTTGGGACTGTCTGTTGTGAGGCTTTGGAACTCAATGGTCATGCCTTTTCTATTCAGCTGTGAAAAACCTTCCTCGTAAAACTTGACATTTGGCTGTTTCAGCTTCTTGCACCTTTGTTATTAACTCACTTCTGTCCCCACTCTGCAAGTGACAACCAGCTTTATTCAAACCCTTACAAAACAAAAACCTGTGGACTTCGCACAGGGTTTGATTTTGGCTAAGAAAACCTGGCACAAAGGGAAAAACACCAAGCATGTAGAGCTCGTGTGTGTAARTGACATGGCATTAAGGCATAGAAGTGTACTGTGGTTGTATTTGAGTGGCAGAAGCTTTTGGCTTGCGTGCCCRGCCCCCCGCCTCCCACCCACCAAGACAAATACCAGGCCGTAATAAAATGTGACAGACAGACAAGCTCGTCTGTCTGCCTATCATTTTCAAGGTCTCCGTGACACAGTGAAAGATTGAATTTGTTCTTTTTTAAATTTTCTTTTGTTCAAATGCGTTTTTTTACAGAAAACTTTAAGTTTGTGACTATACAAATGTTGCATGGTATCTGAGAGAAATAAAACAGGAACAACAAAGTACAAGTTGATTGTTATGCTTGATCACACTGAGTCACACACTGCCCGCTTGTCTTATGACTCCAAGAACAAAGGCGTTTTTATTCGGCAGCTGTTTACAGCAGTCTGTATCTAATCAAATGATTATTCCGGATAAAGTTTATTGTTTTTTTGCTCTACTTCCAAATGTTGTTTATGCAATATTAAAGTCTGAACTAAGMAAAAAAGGCATATCATGAGTTTGGTCACAAGAAGCATAAAATAACTTTATGCTTTGTACTGTACCTTCTGCAGTTTTCTATTATTTCCTCTCTGATAATGTCAAATTAATTCCCTTACATTTTTATGTAGACCTGTAGGTTAATATTCCAATCAATTTTTTACAGTCTCTCATGGTCTTTCCCTTATTTCATATCTTTAGTTCTTCCTTCTTCCTGTCTCTGTTCCTACCTCCCATCCTGTGTTCCTGCAAGCGTTACCTCATCTCTGAGAGCTCAATCTTAGAACTATTCTCAAACAGTAACAGTCAAAATAATGTGCTATTTTTTTTTTATCAATTACAAGTTTATATTAGGGGAAAAATGCAAGATGAGAAAAATTAAAAACATTAGAGGAAATTAGTGAGCACATATTTAAACAACAAATTATTACACCTGAAATACAAATACAGAAAAGAGGTGGGACAATCAATAATTAGGTCATTTTTACTTTTTTTATGAGGTGTTTTTTCGTTTTTGTTAGCTTTCATATTTATCGCTACCTCCTCTAACAATGTAATGTTAGAAATTGAATCTAGAATAATGAGGCAAATAAGGAAAGTTGCCTTAAAGCACAAAAAAGTCAGTTTTTATGATTAAACTGAACATACGAAGTATGGTAAGTCAAAAAGAAAAAAATAAATAGGTCCTCTGGATGGGTTCTTCTTTAGTGAAACGTTTCGTCTCTCCTCCAAGAGTCTTCCTCAGTCTGAAGTCTCTTGGAGGAGAGACGAAACACTTCACTAAAGAAGAACCCATCCAGAGGACCTATTTATTTATTTCTTTTCTTTTTGATTTTTTTTCTACCTGGATTACTGAGATGCATCAGGAAATATGAAGTAAGGAACACTCAAAGGGTAATAACAGAATAACCCAGYTCATTAAGTGTCACTGTCACTTGACCTGAACTCACAAGTTGCCTGCCGTAAAGTTAAATCTTAGGCACTGTGATGCTTTGTTTGTGCCTTYACACTCACACTTCTCAGCTGTAATGGATGCTTATTAAGTTCCAGTTTGAATTCTTCATAGATTCACATTTCAAGCCTTAGCTGGGTCACGCTGACAGACAAAGCGATAGAAAGCCTGAGGAAGAAAAGCAAGAAAAATAATAAAAGATCAGGTTGCAAATACCTTCAAGAAACTGACATCATCTCTACCAAAAACACCAGCCTTCTTTCTGATATTACATTCTTAGTGGCTGTGCATTATTAGGTCCAAAAGGTCTGTAAAAGGCTATTTTAGAATGAACAGTTTAAAGGGTTTAATTTTACCTCAAAGCATTGCATACATTCTTYAGCATCTCTAACACACAAGACCAGTCTATTTATTGACTAGTGATAATTGGTGTCCTTGCCTTTAGTCATTGTCCCTACAAGTGAGATTAAGTTGCAGATCATGTCCAAATATTGCCAGGGCATTAATACCTTCTCATATACTAAACTTTTACATATACTGTGCATATATAATTATATACCAGAGATTATTTTTCTGAATTTATAAGTATATAATTAAAATGTMACCTCTTAGATTTGCAGTGTTTTATTTGACGTCCTTGTGAAGTTACTCAATGTTGTTCTCCCATAAACCCAATTTTAAATACTCAATAATGACAACGTTTGTTAAATAAGCAATTCATGTTACAAATCAATCCTGGACTACTTTATCTTTGCTTCTTTTGCTTTACTACAGTTGCTTCATTGCTTTCTGTGTGTGTAACAAACCTGTCTCTCTTTCTGCCTTGTATTTACTTATGAACCAGCTGTCAGTTCCTACAATGACATATCCTCTACAGTAACTTGACTTTCACATCACAGATATGTCGTGACATTCTGGTGTTATAGTATTAAACTGTTCTTCTTAAAGCTGATACTCTAATGTTTATGTTTATTTTTAAATTTGAGAACAAATCAATACGAAATCACACTTAAACTAAATGTATAATTTAACATGTCAACATAGAAAATGTGTTGAAATATAGGAATAGGCATACTAGCTAATTTTGAGATGCTTTTTAGCAAATTATTGAAAAAAAAATACTTACTTAACCAACAATATGCAGTAAAGTTGTCAAAAATGTAAAGAAGATAGTTTTGAGACTATGTATGCTTGTTTTTCCTATTAGACTACTATTTGTGGATGACAGGAGTTATTATTAGGAAAGACGTTGATCATTATGTTTTTATTCTGCAACATGTTAATGCTCTATGTGTATTTCTCGTGCATTTCTGCAGCTCTGTGTGCGTTTCCATTAAGCTGGGTAGCTTTAACTATCATTGTTCTTCTTATTGACTTTTGAGCTGGGGTGTAGGCACAGAATTTGGCTGCTCTCTTCAGAACAGGGTGTGGTCTGACTTGAACCAAATTTACAAAACATACACTAAAGCATTCAAGAGAGACACACACATGGAGCGAGAGGAAGAGACGACAAAATAGTTATGGGAGATAGAGGCTGCATTGTCTGAAAGTGTTTTAACACCATCTAGTGTTCAGCTTTGGGTCCTATTATCTGGGCTGCTTTGCAAAGGTGATAGTAAATTTTTTTTTTCCAAGACACAACTCACTCTGGAAAAAAGAAAGTTTGTTATTTTGTTTCATATGTTGAACTGTATTTGTTTTCCCTTTGGGCAGGAAAACAACGTTTTATCAGACCAGTGCTGAAAAAGAGGAAAAGACAAACAAGGTATTATAAAAAATAATTTGTATTTTCTCTATTTATTCTTGTAGTAGGTTTTTTTTTTGTTATTTACTCAGTGGACTTTTGTTTTCAACTTATTATTTATATGGCTAACTCTATACAGATGGCTGATGATGAGGACACCAGGGAGGTGCTCTTTCCAGACTGGGAGGGCCCAGACAAAACTGGGTTGACCTTAGAGCAGGCAACTGGTGGAGAGCTTTTTGTCAAAGAAGTGAAAGGAGAGTCACCTGCAGCACGATCTGGAAAAGTGTATCAAGGTACCAAATTCTCAAATATGCAGTATATATATATATAATAACAGTGTTTTAAAACCTCCAATATGAGGTCAAATTTACCATGAACTCAGATTTGCATCACCTACAACTTTATTTTGAAGCTTTAGTATCTATAACAGAYGTTCATGCTGCAATCTCATGTAACTCACAGGTGACCAAATTGTGGGTGCCACAATATACTTTGAAAATATGAGCTCAGAGGAGACAGCAGAGCTACTGAAGACATTAAACAAACACAAAGTTGGACTGAAACTACAAAACAAAGGAGATAAATCTCCTTGTCACTCGCCCTCGAGTACACCATGTCGTTCTCCAATGGGCACCCTCACATGGGAAGGGAGGCTTGGAGCAACCAGTCCAGACATCATTCTTGTAAGTTCCACTTGTAAAATAGCCACATTATACCCTAAATGCTATGGGGGAAGCTCTGAATTACTGCACGATATTCTAAGATGCCATGTTGTATGTTTACTTGTACCTTTCAATCAACAGAGTGGGGATGATGAGGACTATAAGAGGATATACACAAGAAAGATTAAACCAAGGCTGAAGTCTGAAGACCTTGCAGAGGGAGTGGATGTTCGCACAGAGAGGCACAGCAGCACAAGCACTGATGGCAGCACAGTTACGACCATTACTCGTCGCATCACTACCTACACAGTGGAAATGCCAAGTGGGATAAGTGAGAAACTAGAACTGTCAAGTCCAGAGTTTAAAGGGTTACAGCATGAAAGTGGAGATGGCTCCCCACGTATGAGAATTGTGCATAGCAGCTCTTCAGGTAAAGTTAATACAGATGATGGTGTTTTTGAGTCCACTGGTATCAGCGTTAAAAGTCCTAACATTGAAGTTACAAGTCATGAAGGCACTGAAATCTTAAGAGGGAGTGAAGAGAAGGGAGCTACAAGCATTCACGTTTTTGAAACAGTCAGAGACAGTTCAAAATCTGGTACTATGCATGTAACAATAGGAGGGTCAGGAGGAGCAGGGGTAGCAGCAAATGATGAAAAAGGAGGATCAATTAATCTGCCTTCACAAGAAAAAATCAATCAGATTTCAACTACAAGCATAAATAAAACACAGACTGGAGGACCTGACAGCAGTTTTGTTGAAAGAACGGTGAAAACATCTGAAGTTACCATCACTCAGCCACAAAATAAAGGTTCAAGCTCTTTTGAGGTCAGAATGAAAGGAGATACAGAAGGTGTTGATACTAACTTTACKTCAACAATCACCACAGGTGAGATTAGGAAAGGATTTTTCTCACATCCAGGTGAGGTATCATTGTCAGGTAAAGACAGGAACATTCAAATTTCAAAGTGGACAGATCAAGAAAGACAAACAGTGCCACCCAAAATAGAAATAAAAAGTCCAGATGTGAAAATATATAGAAAAGAGGGTGATTTGAAAATGCCTCATATAAAGATGACATCTGAGGACATTGACGAGACAAAAGGTGGAATTAGAATGCCTAAAACAACAACGTCTTCAATAAATATTACAAGTCAAAAAACTAAGGATGCAGAGTTGGAAATAAAAATGACAGGTCCTAATATTGAGGAGGGTGAAAAGCCAAAGTTAAAAGGAGAAATAAACACTTCAGTCATCAAYGTTAAAGAACAAAAAATAGATCATGAAAGCTACAAAAGTGGGAATACAAAACCACAGACAAAAATGCCTTCATTTAGCCTAAAAGGTTCAAATGTAGAGAGCTCAGGTGTTGACATCAGTCTTAAAGGACCGACATTTCAGGGAGATGTGGATGTTAAAGTACCAAAAATCAAAGGTGACATTACAGCACCAGATCTTGAGATTGAAGGTCCAAAAATTGAAACTGAGGGTCACAAAGGAGGAATTACAATGCCTAAATTCAAGACACCATTGTTTGGCTTGAAAGGTCCAGAAGTTGACATCAATATTCCGAAAGCAAATATTGATGTCAAAGCARCTGAAGTTGATATCAAAGGTCCAGATGTTGACATTGAGGGATCAAATGCAGAACTAAAAGGACCCAAATTCAACATGCCATCCATTTCAGGACCAACAATCTCCATGACAGAGGTGGACTTCAACATGAGAGGCACAAAAGTCAAAGGTGATGTAGATGTTAATGCACCAAAAATAAAAGGAGTCACCCCAACACCTGACATAAAAATTAAGGACCCAGAGATTGACACTGAAGGACCAAAGGGTGGATTTGAAATGCCTACAATCAAAATGCCATCAATGAATATCAAGGGTCCTAAAGTAGAAAGCCCAAGTGTTGACATCAGTCTAAAAGGACCCAAACTGGATGGAGATGTGGATGTAAAATTGCCAAAAATCAAAGGAGACATTAAAGCACCAGATCTTGAGATTGAGGATCCAGAAATTGACATTGAGGGCCACAAAGGAGGAATTAAAATGCCTAAATTCAAGATGCCAGCATTTGGCATGAAAGGCCCAAAGGTAGAAGGTCCAGATGTTGACATCAACCTACCAAAAGCCAATATTGATGTCAAAGCACCTGACCTTGATATCAAAGGTCTAGATGCTGGCATTGATGGATCAAATGCAGAACTAAAAGGACCTAAATTCAACATGCCATCCATTGCAGGACAAAACATCTCCATGCCAGATATGGGTTTCAATGTAAAAGGCACAAAACTTAAAGGTGAGGTGGATGTCAAAGCTCCTAAGACAAAGGGAGAAATCACATCTGATGTTGACATCAAAACTAAACAAATTGTCATTGAAGGGCAAAAGGGTGGTATTGAAATGCCTAAAGTTAATATGCCATCACTGAACATCAAAGGGCCCAGTGTAGAAAGCCATGATGTTGACTTCAATCTGAAAGGTCTCAAACTTGAGGGAAATGTGGATGCTAAAATGCCAACAACCAAAGGAGACATCAAAGCACCAGAWGTTGAAATTGAAGGTCCAGACATTGACACTGAGGGTCACAGAGGAGGAATTAAAATGCCTAAATTCAAGATGCCATCATTTGGCATGAAAGGCCCAAAGGTAGAGGGTCCAGATTTTGACAACAATCTTCCAAAAGCAAATATTAAAATCGATGCACCTGAAGTTGACATTAGAGGTCCAGATGTTGACATTGAGGGACAAAATGCAAACCTCAAAGGACCCAAATTCAACATGCCATCCATTTCAGGACCCAAAATCGACATGCCAGATGTAGACTTAAGCTTGAAAGGCCCAAAACTCAAAGGTGATGTGGATGTGAAACCTCCTAAAATAAAGGTAGACATCAAAACACCTGATGTTGACATCAAGGCCCCAGAAGTTGACATTGAAGGGAAAAAGCATGGATTTGAAATGCCGAAAATCAAAATGCCATCAGTGACCATCAAAGGACCTGAAGTAGAGAGCCCAGATGTGGACTTGAGTCTAAAAGGACCTAAAGTTGAAAGTGGTATGGATGTTAAAATGCCAAAAATCAAGGGAGACATCAAAGCACCTGATGTTGAGATTGAAGGTCCAGATGTTGACATTGAGGGCCACAAAGGAGGAATCAAAATGCCAAAATTCAAGTTGCCATCATTTGGAATGAAAGGCCCAAAGGTAGAAGGTCCAGATGTTGACATTGACCTTCCAAAAGCAAATATTGATGTCAAAGCACCTGATGTTGATATTAAAGGTCCAGATTTTGACATTGAGGGACCAAATGCAAAACTCAAAGGACCAAAATTCAACATGCCATCCATTTCAGGACCCAAAATCTCCATGCCAGATATGGATTTCAACTTGAAAGGCCCAAAACTCAAAGGTGATGTGGATGTGAAAGCTCCTAAGATAAAGGGAGACATCAAAACACCTGATATTGACATCAAAGCTCCAGAGATTGACATTGAAGGAACAAAGGGTGGATTTGAAATGCCGAAATTTAAAATGCCATCATTGAACATTAAAGGTCCTAAAGTAGAGAGCCCAGATGTTGACTTCAGTCTAAAAGGACCTAAAGTTGAAGGTGATATGGATATTAAATTGCCAAAAATGAAAGGAGACATAAAGGCACCAGAAGTTGAGATTGAAGGTCCAGACATTGACATTGAAGGCCACAAAGGAGGAATTAAAATGCCTAAATTCAAGATGCCTTCATTTGGCATGAAAGGTCAAAAACTAGAAGGTCCAGATGTTGACATTGAACTTCCTAAAGCAAACATTGATGTGGAACCACCTGACATTGAAATTAAAGGTCCAGATGTTGACATTGAGGGACCAAATGCAAAACTCAAAGGACCCAAATTTAACATGCCAACCATTTCAGGACCCAAAATCTCCATGCCAGATATGGACTTCAACTTGAAAGGCCCAAAACTCAAAGGTGATGTGGATGTGAAAGCTCCTAAGATAAAGGGAGACATCAAAACACCTGACATTGACATTAAAGCTCCTGAGGTTGACATTGAAGGGCCAAAGGGTGGATTTGAAATGCCGAAATTTAAAATGCCATCACTGAACATCAAAGGTCCTAAVGTAGAGAGCCCAGATGTTGACTTAAGCCTAAAAGGACCTAAAGTTAAAGGTGATGTGGATGTTAAAATGCCTAAAGTCAAAGGAGACATAAAGGCACCAGGTGTTGAAATTGAAGGTCCAGACATTGACATTGAGGGTCACAAAGGAGGAATTAAAATGCCTAAATTCAAGATGCCATCATTTGGMATGAAAGGCCCACAGGTAGAAGGTCCAGATGTTGATATTGAGCTTCCTAAAGGAAACATTGATCTCAAAGCACCAGACCTTGATATTCAAGGTCCAGATGTTGATATTGAGGGACCAAATGCCAAATTTAAAGGCCCCAAATTCAACGTACCTTCCATTTCAGGACCTAAAATCTCCATGCCGGATATGGATTTCAACTTGAAAGGACCAAAACTCAAAGGTGATGTGGATGTCAATGTTTCCAAGATAAAAGGAGACATCAAAACACCTGACATTAACATCAAATCTCCAGAGATTGACATTGAAGGGTCAAAGGGTGGACTTGAAATGCCTAAAATCAAAATGCCTTCATTTGCAGTAAAAAGCTCTACCTTGCCAGCTGCAGATTTTGAAATTGGATACCACAAAGGTCAACTTGAGGGACCAGATGTTAAATTTGATGTAAAAGGAGTCAGTCCAAAGAAGTCCAAGTTTAAAATGCCAAAAGTTGGATTCAAGGGTCCAAAGGTCAAAGGTTCAGAAACTGACTTGCAATTGGAACATGGAGAAATAAACATAAAAGGGATGTCTAGTAGCTGTGAACAAATTGACTTGGAAGCAGGAGCAACTGGTTCAAAAACAAAAGGATCCAAATTTAAGATGCCAAAATTTGGCTTTAAAAGTCCAAAAGTTGAYATGCCTGAAGTTGATATTAATCTTCCAAATTCTGGTGTTGACACAAATGCACCTGACATCAAAATAGCTAGACCAGAAGTTAACATTGAGAGTTCAAGTGGAAGCCTAAAGGGACCAAAACACAAGCTGCCAGACATCACAGGACCAAAGATATCAATGCCAGATATGGATTTAAATCTGAAAGGTCCTAAATTTAAAAGTGACGTGGAAGTATCAATTCCAAAGATTGAGGGTAGTCTAAAGGCTCCAGAAATCAAGACTGAAAGTCAGAGTCCAGGTGTTACAATCGAAGGACCGCACTTTAAAGTGCCAAAGGTATCAGGACCTCAAATTTCTGTCCCAGATGTGGATTTCAATTTAAAAGGTCCCAAGTTTGAAGGAGATATTTCAGTTCCAAAAATTGAAGGTAAAATTTCAACACCTGAAGCTGACATCAAAGTTCCAGAGGTTGATACTGAAGGACCCAGGGGTGGATTCAAAATGCCCCAAATCAAAATACCATCGATTGACATCAAAGGTCCAAAGATGGAAAGTTCAGATGTGACCATTAACCTTCCCAAGGCCAAACTTGATACAGTAGCACCCAAAGTTGAAGGTAAAGTGCCAGAATTTGAAGTTGAAGGTCCTGATGTAAAACTCAAAGGATCCAGAATTAAAATGTCAACAATATCAGGTTCAGGTATTCCAGATGTGGACATTAATCTGAAAAGTCCCAAAGTTGAAAGTGACGTGGATGTTTCAAAAACCAAAGGGAAAATAACAACACCTGACATTGACATAAAAGGTCCAAAAATTGATACTGARTTGTCCAAGGGAGGATTTGAATTACCTCAAATGAAATTGCAATCAGGACCCGCACATGATGTCAACTTTCCTAAAACTGACATCAACGTGAAAGCTTGTGAAATGAATATCAAACCACCAGAAGTTAACATAGGAAACATAGATGCAAGCGCTAGCATGTCTACTGAGCATGACAAAACTGGTATTACATTTCCAAAGTTTAAAGGTCCTAAGTTTGCAATGAAATCTCCAGAAATTGAGGGGTCTGAATCTATGAAAATTCAGAAAGATTTTAAAACAGAAGTTAGTTTTTCAGGCACTGAAGCAAGTTTTGATGCCCCTGACATAGATTTTAATGTAAAGGGGAAAAAGGGAAAATTTAAACTCCCTAAAGTAAAAGGAAAATCTAAGAAACCAGAAGCAGATCTAGAAACAACAGAGGTAGATCTGGGTGTTGATATTCATACTAAAGGAGCAAAGGTAAAGAAGCCTTTATTTGGCAAGCTTCATTTCCCTGATGTAGAATTAGACATTAAATCACCAAAACTGAAAGGTGATGGATCTTTATCTGAGGGTTTCAAATCACCTGATGCAGATTTACCATCTGTTAGCTTCAACACTGCCAATATTGGTTCTGGCACAGACAGTGCAAATGTTTGTTTGGAAGGGCAAGCTATTAAAGTGAACACTCAAAATGTTTCTTTGCCAGGTGAAAGTTCTAAAGGTAGTTCAGAAATTAGTACAAGTATTTCAGGAAGTGCAACTGGTGGCTTTCAATATCCAGAAGCTACAATAACATTTCCCAAAATCAAGGTACCAAAATTTGGTATTGCACTGCCCAAGGTGGAAGGCCAGAAAGATGACAAAACAGGTAAATCAGAAGTTGCAGCCAGTGCTGGCATGCACATAGAGTCTCCATCTGTAAGCTTCCAAGGGAGTTTACAAGATTCCCGCATCGAGATTCCTAGTCCAGAACTGAAGCATAGTGAAGGCAAAGTAAAGGTAAAGATGCCAAAATTGTTTGGAAAATCAAAAGCTAAGGGAAGTAGTACAGGTGAACTTTGTGAATCAGAGGTCATGTTAAGCACAAGTGGGAAAGAGAGCAAAACCTCTAAAGCACATTCTGCTGAACGGATAGGTGGAAAATTAGAACTGGAAGGTGATCCTGGAGTCAGTGTATCAACTAAAAGCAAGTCAGCTTCACTGGATCTGTTTAAAAAATCAAAACATCAATCCCCCTCTCTGAGTGATGAAGGGTCTCTTGCAGTTAGTTCTCCTTCAGGTCATTTAGAAGCTGAGGGTGGTGACATTTCATTAGACCTAGGAGGAACCCAGGTCAAGGGGAAGAAAGGCAAACTAAAGTTTGGCACGTTTGGAGGTTTTGGTTCTAAGTCTAAGGGCTCGTATGAAGTGACACTTGGAAGTGACAGTGAAACAGGGATAGAAGCGGGTGCAGATATTTCTGTGCCTTCTAAAAAATCAAGATTGTCTTCATCCTCAAGCAGTGACAGTGGCTCAAGAAGTGGTTTGAAGTTTCCAAAATTTGAGCTTTCAGCTTCACCAAAAAAGTGATGGTGTGGTAAATTAAGCTGTCATTTGTGCACTCAAAAATGGTTCCCTAATACAGTAAACTTTCAGATTTTTGGTTCTCTAAAACTGAAGATGGCATCTAGAGCCATCTCTATATTGTTACATATGAATAATTTTTTAAGAATAATTATTTAGAAGTGCATGAGATTGTTAAAAATCCCTTCAAAACTGTAAATAAGATTAATTTGTACTYTATTAATAAATACTGATTTTGTACATAGTCAAGATTTATTGAACATATGCCATCTCACAAATGATCAACAATACCATATTACAAATTATGTTCTAGTGTCCTGTTTCAATTTTTAATGAATGTTTTTTTTGAACTGGTGTTGTATATTTGTGTTTGGGGGTTTATTGCACAGAGCAGACACTTCAATAGATATTTTGAAGGAAAATGTTCTTTATACATTTAAACACACATACAAACAGTTACCATTTTATCACCTATAAAATGGTGTTATTTCTATGCTTTGATGACATAATCAGTGCAGAAGCTTATTTTTGCAACATAGAGCTGGCCCTTTATAATACATTATAAAGATTCACATTATTGTAAATATTATAATTGCAATGACAATCACTGTTTGGAAATTCTCTGAAATGCTAAGAGTACTTGTTTGTTCATTTAAAACAAAATGCATTTGATTAAAGTCTATGATAAACAACACAAATGAAATAACTTTAATTATTTTAAACTGTTTTTGTAATTGTGCCATTTTTCAAGTTTACTAATCAACTGTATTTAATTTCATCTTAACACTCTCTTTTTTGTGTATATCTCTACWGCTTTCACTAATTTTTTAAAGGAAATTTGTCGGTCACTTTTTACATTATTTGCAAACAGGTTCTGTGTTGATAGAAAAGTGCATAGCATTGATCAGATGTGATGAACAGCTTCATTTTTTTGGGTCTATGCTTTTGTGTGCATTCATCCTAATAAACTAAGTAAACAGATTTGTAGAATTTACTTTGTTTTCGTGTGCTATTTTGTGTGTGATCCAACTGAGTTACTTATACTGTATCCCAGAAAGAGCTGGGATCAGTCTAATCCATTATTGGTATCAACCTCTGATACAGATCTCATGGTTTAATAATGGAACATTACCTAGGACCATCACCAAATATAATGATTTAAAAGTTCAGGAATGTCAAGATATGCTAATTTAAAAGCAATACTGTCGTTTTTCAAGTGGAAGCCAGTCTGAAGAATTCTGTTTCAAACAGGATAGTCCAAAATGGCCTATTATGAAAAAAAAAAAGTTGAGACAGTCACATAATCCAACCATGAAAATTGTGGGTTTTAGCTTAGAAATGCTTTTAGTTGTAAAAAAATGTTATCAAAGAACTTTGTGGGCCTGAAGATCAAACAATGAAAGTAAAGTGTCTGGCAAAGTTTTTAAATTCTGACCAAACATACCCACCTTAAACTTCCTATTATTTAACTAAAGATATTTCCTTCCCATCCAGCATTTCACCTCCTTGATACAGTTTATGACAGATACATATGACAGATGGGGTCATCAGGTTTCATCAGCATATAATAGGACATTTGTCTTTGTCTTGCTGAACATTTAATTTTTGTAAGAACTATGCTTTACTTCTTTAGGGTTCATAAAAGTTTGTATTTAAATGATCAGTTTCACAAAGATATTCCTTTCAAATGCATTTTTAAAGTTCAGAACTTCACCCAATAAAATATTTATTTAAAATATAAACTTTAAACTTTCTGTTCTATTAAGATTTTAGTGCTAAAACTGTTTCTTTTATTAGCTGCCGTTTTTGAGATGTGAAATGAGAAAAAAAGAAAGAAAAATATTCAAACTGACAGAAGGATATGGCTCTAAATTTCCAGAGAAGCCTTTTTCAAGGTCACAAAACAATTTATGATACCACAGTAAGAAATTATTGTAACCAAGTTGTTGTCTTAAATGTAAAGGAAAATTTATCTTTGGGGATACAAGTCATTGTTTTGTGTAAAGGTATGGCCTTTAAAAAGTAAAAGACATGCTATTTAAATCACAGAATGCCCTGTCCTCAGGAAGATTTGTAGTTTTGCAAGTTTCTCTTCAACATGTATGCTTTGGAGAGCAGACTCATTTTTTAAACAACTTTAAGAGCTCACTTTCAAAGGCATCATGAAAGACTCGGCAGTCTGTGAATGAATACATATCACCCTCTGCCTTAAATGCCAGAGTTCTAAACTAAAATAATGTTGATAAAAGACAGGGTTAAAGTTGTAAAGAATGATGTTATGCATAGTTACAAGTGATATTGTGAGCCCTTATTTGTTGACACTCAAAATGTGTTGAGGATGACTCCCAGCTACAATCGCACTTAAGTTCAGCTCAATATTTGAAAAACTATCTGATTTGAAGCCATTTTTAAGTTTGTTCAGGACAATCAACTGAGATAGCCATCTTGAATGGGTTTGAGTTCAATCATTAAATAGTTGTAGATATACACCTAATAATAACTGTCTGAGAATTTCACTACAATCGGTCCAGTGGTTCATTAGATATTTTGCTAAAAGACATAAATGAACAGACACACATGCACACACACAGACAAGGTCAAAAACGTTATTGCCTCTCTCCTTCATTCTTCAAAAATAAAAATAATTTGTTGCAGTGAATAGATGGTRAATTCACCAGAGGCGCTAYYTCRTGACTTTTCATGGTCGGTRCGAGCAGCCATCTTGTGCAGGGCRAGGAAAGTGCATCRTGCAGGGAAAGCCTTGTTTCTGAGTCTGAATTTGTGGAAGGAGGAATGTAGCATCTGCTGAAACTAAACAATGGTGGGCTTGTCGGTCCTTCTCAGGAGACTGTGGGGTTCTGGGAACATTATGTCAGCAACAACAATTACAACTCCTCTACTGTTAGTTGAATGTGCTAACCATGACATGTTAAATTTAGGGCAGCACCTCACTGAAACGCTGTTTGATATTGACAACGATTGTTTTAATTTGTAAGAAATGTATGTCAGTTCATAATATTATATCAAGTAAAAACATGTTGCAAATTTACACACTTCTGCAATGAAAAACGTTTCTAAAAGGCAGAAGCCAACCAAAAAAATATATTTGTAGTGGTCAGTAACAATGTATTGTACGGAGCCCGAGAGKGGACATGRGAGATTTTTTTCTTTTGCRTTACYTCGCARAAGTCTTTTATCACTGTTGTGCCTGCCAGTTTATTAAAGGGATCCATGATTAGTTGTAATATTAGACTTTACCTATCTAATAATTTTAATAATTCAATCTCAAAGGGATAGCGATGTTTGTTAAACCCAAATTTAGAACCAGTTTAAAGGAACAGAGTACTTCAGTCCAGGATATAAGATTATGGAATAATCTGGAAGATGACATTAAAAAATGCCAGATCAATGAGTATATTTAAGAGAATGATAAAGAATAATTTGTTGGAGAAATATGTAAATATGAATTGTTGTTCCAGGAGTTAAACCTTTGTATTTTTCTTTTTTAAATAAACTAAATATTATTTTTGATTGAATTTATTTGAGAAAAAGGGGCAGA